TCTGTGCCCCTGATCCCTCAACTAGTTTTCCCAGTGCCTTGAAGTCCCTTTTGATTGCTTTTAAACTTCTGGTTTCAACTTCATCATTTCCCACCTGCATAACTAGTAATGGCTAGTAATCAGAGGGCTTTACCAGACTAGGCAGCCTTCTAGTGACATCTCTGACCCGGGCCCCTGGGAGGCAGCACACTTCCCTGTGGGAAGGATCTGGCCGACATATGGGGCCCTCTGTTCCCTTCAGAAGGGAATCCCCAATAACAACTACCCTCCTCTTTTTTTTTTGGGTACAAGTACTGATATGAGGGGGGGACTGGTTTGCTTTAGGCAACCCCCCAGATGATGTTTCTTCTACTTTCTCATTTGCCTCTCCCTCAACATCCAGTGCACCATACTTGTTGTGCAAAGGCAACTGGAAGGGTGAGGGGGGCTGTGAGAGGTTTTCCTTGCCTCTCCTACCGGGCACCTGTGTCCATTCCCCTCTGCTCATTGGGTCACCTCCCTCTCCTGAGGGGATCTGCAGAGCCTCGCACAACAAATCCAACTCTCTTTCACTTTCCCTTATAGACCTTAGTCTTTCCACCTCTTCCTTCAGTTCAGCCACCTCGTCCTTCAGTTCAGCCACTAGACTAAGCAGATCATTGATCTGCTCACACCTCACACAGGTGTTGACTCCACAGCCTTCCAGTGCAAGTGCCAGGCTCCAGCACTCGATGCAGCCCGTTGACTGGGTGCCTGCATGTTTGCGTGGGGCCTCTGGGCACGCTCAGTTTTTTTAACAGCCTTCGGCCGAGTTGTGACCATGGTTTGATCTCTTTGCTGCCCGAAGTTGCGCGCACTGCTCAGCTCTCGTTATTGAGAAGGCCGGGCCTCTCCGGTCACCGCCTCCCGCCTGAACTCACCTGTCACGCGCCGCACTCCGGTGACGTTGCCGCCGCCGCTTCGCCGAGCGCCCGAGGGCCTGCTCCGGCCGCCTTTAAATCTCCGCCTGACTCCTGGCCACGCCCCCTCCGCTCCTGATTGGTTGTTGCGGGCTTCCGGGTTCCCGCTGGGGCTGGGGCTGTGAGCTGGGGGTCCCTGAGCTCGGACACCCCTCTGTGCAGCGCGAGCCGACCCTCTCCCCGGGCTCACCTCGGGGCTCGTCGCTGCCGCCGCTGCCGGTCTCCCCTCAGCCTCCTCTTCTCCGGGCTGAACACCCCCAGTTCCCTCAGCCTCTCCTCATAAGACTTATTCTCCAGACCCCTCACCATCTTTGTTGCCCTTCTCTGGACCCACTCCAGCACCTCAATGTCTTTTTTATGGTAGGAGGCCCAAAACTGGACACAGCACTCAAGGTGAGGCCTCACCAGTGCCGAGTACAGGGGGACAATCACCTCTTGGGCCCTACTCACCACACTGTTCCTGATACAGGCCAGGATACCATTGGCCTTCTTGGCCACCTGGGCACACTGCTGGCTCATGTTCAGCCGACAGTCGACCAACACCCCCAGGTCCTTTTCTGCCCGGCAGCTCCAGCCACTCTGCCCCCAGCCTGGAGCGCTGCAGGGGGTTGTTGTGACCGAAGTGCAGGACTTGGCACTTGGCCTTGTTGAACCTCATCCCGTTGGTCTCGGCCTGTTGAGATCTCTCTGCACGAGATCTCTCTGCACGAGGACGAGGGGCAACGGGCACAAGCTGGAGCAGGGGAAGTTCCACTCCAATCTGAGGAAGAACTTGTTTGGGGTGAGGGTGGCAGAGCCCTGGCAGAGGCTGCCCAGGGAGGGTGTGGAGTCCCCTTCTCTGGAGATCTTCAAGTGCCGCCTGGATGCTCCTGAGTGATGTGCTCTGGGCAGCCCTGCTTTGGCAGGGGAGTTGGACTGGAGGATCTCTAGAGGTCCCTTCACACTCTGACAATTCCGTGATTCTGTGATTCTGTGATTCTCCTCTTTTTTTTTTCCACCTGGAACTAGCAATACATTATAGCTCTGGTTCCATCAAGATGGTCCTGAGATATAGGTAGTCACCATCTATTTGGGAGGATTAGGCACAAGAGTGTGTTTTGCCAGCTTGCTTTTCTGTAAGCACAGAGAATGAAATGCAGACCTTTCACCCCTGAAGCAAACAATGTGTGATACCCTACACCCTGTCAGCTTCTGCTTTGCTGCTCCCTCCCTCTGCTGAACCAGCTGACTGGTCATGAGACATGGGCTTATTCTCAGTTCCCCAAAACCACTCCATCTGACTCCACCTAACAGCGCGACAGTCAGAAAGGTGACACTATGGCACGGCTGTCATGGGCTGGGGGCAGTGCTGGGTACCTACTGTACGTGGGATAAACAGTAGACTGAGTCACAGCACTCGCCAAGTTTGACTCTTCCCATGTGCTTTCCCTTCTTTACTCCTCATTACCTGCTTTGTGGACTAGTTTTCTCTTGGTTAGCAAGAAAATCTCTCTTGGAGAAGATCCAGGACTACCAAAACTTAGGTAATAAGAGTGGCAAAAAGAGAGAAGGGGGTAGCAGGAGCTGCCTGCTTCGGTGGCCAGGAGCTGTTGGGACCCTAATTCCGTGGGTCTGACCCTCATGTGCCAGCCAGAGAAGCCACGCTGCCTGCGGTGCGCCCTCATTCTTGCCTTTTCTCTGCTGAAAATAAACGTGGACTAGTAGCAGTTTTGTGCAACTTGTAAGTGTTCACTGCTGCCTGTGAGAAACCCAGAAGGGGGAGACTGCCTATTTCATATCACGTTCCAGATTCACAGTCACACATTTACAGCCAGAACTCCAGCAGACCATCTCATTTGGTCAGTTCACAGGCAATAGCTGTCTCATTGCTCCTGTCTCGGCACCATCATCTTCCGCCCGGAGCATCTGCAGCTTTGCGAGGTGGTGAACCTGGCTCAACTCACTGATGATGCTGTTTGCCTTACAGCCTGACCGCCTGCGGGATGAGGAGATCACAGAGCTGGAGGAATGCCTCAAGAGCCTGATCGTTCACCAGAGCATCAACAACAACGTGGCTGTAAAAGGCTGCCCGTCTCTGAACTCCCCATCTCTACCTTGTCCTTCTCAAGGCGGCTCCCTTTCCCCACAAGTCACCTTTATCTTTCAGGGACAACAGTTCGGTGAGTAGCTAGAACTGACCAAGAAAGCCCTGGGTTCTTCCTCACCTCAAAGCCCAAAAGGGAGGATTAACGTGACGACATGTTGGGGTCTGCCTCACATAAATCAAGGAATTCCCAGCATCCCATAAGGAAGGGATTACCATCGTCCTAAGATATTGCCACACTGCTTCAGATCAGGCCTCAACTTGCTTGCTTTCTGGGGTGGCACAGAACCAGATGCTTCAGGGGCTGTGTCTCTTCCAGGTTGCTCATGTTTTAATACTGAAAGGGAGAGTACAGAGTAGTTCTCTTCCTCCACATCATTTGGTTGAGGCGAGTTAATTGCATGGGTTGGGATGAGACCTGGGAAGGTTACTACGGACACCATCGGCCCTGCTTTTGAGCCCAGAGTGATGTCTCCAGGCTCCCTGCAGTACACCAGCTTTCTGCAGGGAGCTTTCGGATAGTCTCACATGGCGATTTTAGCTTGAGATCACCTAGATCATTTCTGAGCACCCTTAAGCTGTGTAAACAGCTTCCAGCGCTAAAGAGCCAACAGCTCCTGTCAACAGCTCCTACCTGAGCAAGACAGGGAGCTCAGATGAGCCAGGGCAGATGGCTGTGAGCAGGGAAGTGCGTCGCCATGTGCTCAGTTTGCCTCCTGAGGCACCAGCATTGGCCCAGGGGGTGGCAGACTCCGGCTCATATGCAGGGAGCAGGGACAGAGAAGCCCAGAGAAGCTGGACTGCCCCAGCTGTGGCTGCCTCATCCCTGGAGGGGTTCAAGGGCAGGTTGGAGGGGGCTTGGAGCAACCTGGTCTGGTGGGAGGTGTCCCTCCCCAGGGCAGGGGGTGGGAACTGGATGGTCTTTAAGGTCCTTTCCAACCCAAACCATTCCATGATTCTATGACATCTCAAGAGGTGAGGCTTACTCCACCTGATTTTCCCTCTCCAGCGGTGGAGGAATGCCATCAGAGCATTCCAGTGTCACCAAGCATCCCATGCCGTCACAGCCCTGTGTGTAAGACCCCAGGGCCACGGCAGGACAGTCCCTTTAGCTTCACTGCTCTTGCACTTCTGCAAGATACCAAGCAGACCTCGGGCTGGCCCAAGCTGCGTCACATCAGCCACGAAACTCCTCTGGTTTACCCACCCTTTGTCCCTTTCAGCCAACAGAACGCTCACACCAGACGACCACCAGAAATTTGCCAAGCTCGTGTCCAAGAAGTGGAAGCAAGTGGGTCGCTCTTTGCAGAAGAACTGCCGGGCCCTGCGCGATCCTGTCATTGATAACCTGGCCCTTGAATACGACCGAGAGGGACTATATGAACAAGCCTATCAGCTGCTTCTCAGATTCATCCAGTCGGAGGGGAAGAAGGCCACAATAGCACGACTGGTCGCAGCCCTGGAGGAAAACGGTCTCATCAGCTTGGCTGAGGAGCTCTTGGGCCTCCATTCCAATGAGGACTGCTCCTAGAGACCCCAAAGGGTAGCAGCGTTGCTAAGAGCTTTCTTGCTTCTGCTAGTGTAAGAGACTGCTGCAGCGTCTGGGAATGTAAAGTCCTGAAAATCACCGCAGGATTCCATGTAGATGGGAATGCCTGGGGAAGAGGCCAGCACGGACCTCTGACGTTCCTTGTTTTATTCTGTTTCCAGAAGCCAACATTACCTTCCTGTGAACTGATGAGAGAGGCTTTCAGCCTGACTTCCTTCAGGACTGAAACGTCACAGGGAAGCAGCCAGACAGTTAGAGAGCCCTAGGGGAGAGGAGAAGAGCAAGGAAGGCATCTTGGAGAACTTCTCTAGGAAGCAGACAATGCCACTGTTTCTCAGGCTGTGGCCCAGGGCCATCACCTGGAGGGTTGCAGTATATTTTTTTATATGTCAGACATTCATGCCTTCAGGCACGACATCAAGCAAAGACAGAAGGGAAATTAAGGAAAAGTCAATTTTATACTATTTTCCTTCTTTGTTCTTCGAACAAGGAAAATCTGTGGTAAGTGCATTTGTCCTGCCCTACTCTAGTACAGCTCATTCCCACCTCTCACCACCTGAAGGTTTCCCTTTTACCTGGGACAGTCATCATCTCCCACAGGGCACGAGATTGCTTCTGTAGAGCTAATTTCAGGCACTGAACAAGCAATATGGACAAAGACAAATTCAGAGAAATGATTCTCAACTTTTTCGGGACCATAGTGGACAATAATATACTGACTACATCACGCTTAGCTCTTTCCCACCAACCCAAGGAAGCCCGCATCTGTCAAAGGAAAGGAAAACAAAACACACAGAGCTGGAAGGAAAATAATATTCTCCTCATCAGCAAGTTACCTGTGGAGCACAGATTGGAGCTGCTGCTCTGAGGTGTGTCACAGCATCAAATGCCATCCTGAACCTGACCCACAGAGCCAAACAGTCGCCTCTGAGGAGCTGGCTGCCAGTGCCTTCGCTCTCTTCTTCGCTTCGACCTGCTTAAGTTAAGCAGTTAAGTTGGGTGCTTAACTTCCCAGCCAACCCAGGAACCCAACTGCTCCAAGTTCCCGAGGACACCTCACGCCATCGCGTCTCGCAAGAGTCAGGATTTGCACGGAGCCTTTCCCCTGCCCGTGTTGTCACTGTGTGACAATTGGGCACCGGCTGCTGGCTTTACCTGCCCTGATTTTGAGGGTTAAAAACGGCTTAAAAGGACAAAGCCCATAACGCCCAGGGCTGGCTCGTGCTTTCAGTCCCTGTGGAGAAGCTGACTCTCTCCTGGTACGGTTGATGCAGACTCCAACGGAGCAGAGTTTACACCTTTGCCCATGACAAAGCACAGAGCACGTATCTAGCATCCCACGAAGCACAACAGCAGATTGATTTCCTTTGACATAGTCCCTACACTCTCCTGATACGTTTTTACTTAACCTTTTTCATTGATTCTGCCCCTCTTTGCCCTTCCCATCCGTGGAAATAGCCAGCGGGCCTTGGAAATTATTTCAGAATGGGAGGGTGGCTCTGGCAGTCATGGTAGGACCAGCTTTTAGACAGGCAAACCCTGGTGGCCTTTTAAACCCCAGCTCATGTCTTAATCCTTCCTGGAGTCAAAGCTGTAATTCAGTAAGGAGGGACACAAGGTGGGATTGGGGCGTGGGCTCAGACCCAAGCTCTGGGGGCCGGTGCTGCTCCCTTTGCTTCTGCTACAGCGCACGCTGTGAGCATCAGCCAACTGATGAGCTGGATCAGGAGGGTTTGGATGGCAATCAGATATGCTGAGCATTGCATTCCCCAGCCTAAGCCTGAGAAACCTGGCTTTTTCTTTTTTTTCTGCAGATTTTGAATCCCCGCGGTCACCTACACAGCGTGGAAAGGAAAGGGAGGGGGTCAGAGATGGGGAGAATGTTTTCGAGGTGTGAATCTGCTTCCGTCTTGCCCTTAGCGTCAAAGGAAGCAGGGCTTCACGCAGGCACCATCTCAACAGAGACTGTGGCCCCACAGCGTTTTATTAAGCCATTCCACGTCAGTGCTGGTACAGCCTCATCTCTTCCATTCCTGCTCCATCCCGCCCACCCACCCCCCAGTAGTACCAGTGCTTTTCCCAAAAGGAAGCAATCTTCTCTCTTCAGTTTTGCTTTTGGGACCAGCACAGCACCGCTGATGTTAGTTAGTTTAGGCTGCTGTGGAACCATACCTCAATTTAGCCTTCCTGCCAGATCCCAGCTGCGGAACTCGATTTAGCAGCAACCCACCTGGCAAATGATATTTTATACATTTTTTTAATACAAAAAAAAAAAACAAAACCACATCAGAAACTTGAAAATTACTTTAACAGCAAGAGGGTTTGCTCTTGATTTTGCAAAAATGATTTTTTAGAAGACAAGGTCATATGCATAGCCTGCCTCATTTGTAATGAACATTTCTAAGCTCTTGGGCTAGCTATTCACGTGCAAAACTTTTATATACAGTTATAAGACAGCCACTGAGCAGTGAGGCCTTCTAGCTTTTATAGTGTCTGTTAATGCTCAGAACAAGAAAGGCTTGTTATTCAGCATCTACTTCAAGTCCAAAAAAATTCTTTGCTCTTATTACTGTATACTTATTACTGTATTCATGCTTATTACTAAGCATGAATGCTTTTTTTTTTCTTAATGCAAACCTTGTGCATTTTATTCCTCTGCCAGCAATTGGTATATGTGTTTCCTCTTACTCACAGATTCCTTCTCAAAAGTGCCATTAAGTGCTGGAACTCCTGGCAGCCTTTCTGGAATATCATCATCTTTAACAGCATTCACAGGTGCCTTCATTGCAGAGACTGGCAGGAAAAGGGTTTTCCAGTGATATTCCGTGGTGGAATTGTCTTGAGCACATGGCATGGTTTGGGACCATAGCAATGGCTGTTTCATACCTTCTTTCCCGTGATGGATCATTATCGTCATTAGATTCAATGAAAACTCGATTCTGGTTTCAAGGGGACTCCTTTCCTGCCAAAAGAGTAGGTTTTTTTAGTATTTTAGTATTATCTGGCACAAACACAGATAGAGACAATTATCACAGAAGCTTTAGAATGAAGCAGATCGATCAGATCGTGATGTCATTTGCACTGATTTGGCATTTGGCTGGGGCTTGACTCTGAATTTCCTTCTGTTTTACCCAGAAGATTTTACAGTGGTTTTACACCAGCGTGCAAAGACAGGGGAACTCGCATCAGGCAGGGAAGGAAGCAGCACTCAAAGAAAACAAAAAAAAAACAAGAAAAACCACATTAGCAGAGATTTGTTGAAGAAATCAGAAGCGTGTCTTTACCTGGGATAGTAACGCAACGAGCGAGGAGGAGCTGGGTGTTGGGGATTCCTGCCCTGTGCACCACGAACGCGGTGCTGTCTGCCAGACCGAGGGCTGTCTCACCTTTGGAAGAGGAGCAGGCTCCAGCTTTCATCCTCCCCAAGTTGGCTGCACCCATACTGCACCCACTCAGATGCCAGGCACGCAAGTGACACCCCTGTGCCACTCTTTATAAAGATTAATAATGCCTAGTGTGGGCCATAAGCCATGGGCAGCGCTGCTGCTGCTGCTGGATTTGGCCTTATCCCATAACAACTCTTCTCTACCTATTGAGATATGTCTGGGGAAAAAAAAAATAAAATATATATTTTTGGAGGGTGGGGTGGTGATGTTTCAGAATCAAGCATGTAGCAAACTGGCACACGATATAAAAAGCAACTAAAGATGCTAATTAGTTGCATATTAAAAAAAAAAAAAAAGAAAAAGAAATAGACCAAGTATAAAGCAAACCGCAGAAACCAGGCCCAAATGTGCTTACAGGAAGGGATTCAAGAGGGCTTTTTTTGTGGTACAGATTGTTTTTGTAGTTTTAGCAATGTTTCACATTTGAAGGAGGCTGCTTTCAGTCTGCCAAAAAGAAGAGACGATCCATCCAAACGAGAATTTGAATGATTTGTTTTGGCGTGGCCAAGCTACCCCGTTCAAGCGGGTAATACCAAAGAGGAGAGTGAGAGTTACAACTTTGGGGTGAGGCATCTGATAGAAGTAAACCTGAGGGTATACCCGGGTAGAAAATTGTCACAAAGGAAAAATATCAAACTGTCCTGGAGGGCAGAGTGAGCAAAAGGCTGAGATTAACCCTCTTAGATGCTTGTTAAAAATACACCGTCAGTTAATTCCCCTGCTGAAGACAACAGTGCACCATCAGGGCAGACAGGGAAGGTGATTTCTTCCACAGTTCCACAGATTTCTTCCAAGTTCTCACACGCCACAGCTGCTGACAGCAGAGCAGTTTGTCGGGTGAAAAGAGTACTTGACTCAAAAAGAAGGAAAGAGTTCACCATTATTGATTGGAAGCACTTAAAAATTACGAGCCTGACCAAGCGTGCTTGGTGCAGACACTGCTCCAGACCAAGGGCTTTTTCCCAGTGTGAGGAGATGGTGGGGTTTTTCTTTACCTCGTCATTTTGCCATTAATTTCAAAAATCCGCTTCAGCGCTGAGGAGCGGTCCTGCCACCTGGGCCACCGTGTCACCTCCCCTTGGTGGGTTCAAAAGGCACCTTAGAGCCACCGCCGAGTCACGCCCCAGCAGCCTCTGAAACCAACAGTAAGCACAGACAGCCATGAGGGGCCTCAAATTCACTAAAACTGGTGATTTAGTTTAACGGAAAATTCTGGTCTAACCGTGGAACCTCTGGTATCGTGCACCTGAACCCCAGGAGGTACCAGAATGGGAGTCAAGAGGGGTTTGGTTTTTCTTCTTTGAAATGAATTCTAAAGCCACTGAAGGGACTTGGCCACACATCCCTAACTGAAATCTGTAGGAGGTGTGTGGTGAAGTCCCTTAGTCATCGGTGGAAAATCCCTTGCTGACCTTCTCATTCCAAATTTCCCTGATATTCAGCATCATACCTGGATCAGCCGTCTACAGCTATGGACTGCTCTGCCATGTATGCTCAGGCCTAGGACTTTCAGCCTCCAAGGAATTGTCTTTTATAGAAAAAAAAAAAAATCCAAAAAACCAGCACTTTGGTCTATTTTTTCCCCCATTCTTTTTTATAAATAAATACATACTTCTGATGAAAAAGCGCCTCAGAGATTTACATTAAACACTTAATGCCCTAGTAAGAAAGGGTTTCGCTGAAGTTCTGGCCACCTTGGCCACACCAGCTGGTGACCACCAGGCCACACCACCAAAGGATTCACAACGGGCTCCTGCCGAAAATGGCATGTTTCTACTGACACCCCAAAGCTGGTGCCCCACCAGTGAGTTAATGGCTCTGATTTCAAGTGGAAACCAAGCTAAGCCACCACCTTTGTCCAGTTGTGCCTCTGATGAGCCTTTTTTTGCAAACGTGGCCAGAAGGAGAGGTTTGTCCCAAAGCTGGTAGAGCTCCCCGTGTTTCTTTCAGTGCTGTTACGTACCTGGGACTCTTCTGAGGCCACGGCATCGCTGTTATCTGCAGTGCCCTCACTATTAGTGAGCCGTCTCACAAGGGTGCCTGCCCCGTAGGTGAGGAGCCAAGGAGCTTGGACATTAAATCTTCTCCAGCAGCTTTGCAGGGGAAGCTACTGGCTGACCTGACAGCTGAACCCGGGGAAGCCCCTCCTGCCAGAAACTCCAGCAGAGCAGTATTTCACCCTGATTCACTTAAACCTCAGACAGCACTTGAAAAAAAATCACAAGATCAGCCCTTCTTTATTTACCACCATGGCTTGATGCCTGTGGGAATACAGTGACAAGGAGCAGGGCTCTGCCCCACAGAGGGTGGAAGGACTTTTGGACTCCAGCAGGGCTGACTTACTGATGGGGATCAACAAGATGACTGACCCAAACTTGTAAGACCAAGTGACATGCCATGGGACAGACCAAGGGCACCTTTGCTGGCAGCAAAATGAACGAATCATCCATGGATTGGTGCCCGGGAAGAAGGTGAGACAGCAACCAACCAGAAGCACCAGTGGAGAAAAGTCCTACATCTTCCATGGTCCCCGCGTGGCTCCCCAAGCCATGGCAGCCACAGAGGCAGCGTGCAGCAATTAAAGCCTCTGCTTTCACTCTCACCCCGTGGGAGCAAGCGAAAAAGGGTAGTAGGTCCCAAAACCTGGGTGAGGAGAATGCAAAGGAAATCACAGAATCCCATGGGGTTGGAAGGGACCTCTGGAGATCATCCAGTCCAACCCCCTGCCAAAGCAGGGCCACCCAGAGCAGGTCCCACAGGAACGTGTCCAGGTGGGTTTGAATGTCTCCAGAGAAGGAGACTCCACCACCTCCCTGGGCAGCCTCTGCCAGGGCTCTGCCACCCTCACAGCAAAGAAGTTCCTCCTCAGGTTTAGGTGGAACTTCTTATATTCAAGTTTGTGCCCATTTCCTCTTGTCCTGTCCCTGGGCACCACTGAAAAAAGACCAGCCCCATCCTCCTGACACCCTCCCTTTGAGTATTTATAAGCATTGATCAGATCCCCCCTCAGCCTTCTCTTCTCCAGACTCAAAAGACCCAAGTCCCTCAGCCTCTCCTCATAAGAGAGATGCTCCAGCCCAATACCTGGATACTCCAAGACCAAAATACCTGTTGCGAGTCCCCAGTGGTTTCAGGGAGCAGTCCCCCTCGCTGCAGCAAAGGTGGACACACGGGTCTGCTCTTCATCTCCGTTCCACCATCTGCCTCCTTAGGGAAGAAGGGTGAAAAACAGCCCCGGGGACCAGCGCTGCGCAACGGGATAAACGTACCTTGGGTTGGCCCAGGGGGAGCCTGAAGCCTTTATGTAGCATTTCTGGCAGAGGTTTTTGCTCAGCTGTGCCACTCGGCGAGGAACGGCTGTGTTTCAGACGGCTGAGGATCCCGAGGAAACAGCTTTCCCAAGCCTGGAGCACCCCAACGCAAGAGCCCGAGGGTTGCTCACCAGGAACCCCTCCGTGCCACAGCTTCTCACGGCGACGTTGCACTCAATAAAGCCAAACTTTTGAGCTGAAATTAAAAACGCATTAAAAAAAAAAAAAAGCACAGGCACACAAAAAAAATAAAACAACAACGTTTTTACATTATATCTAAAATACAGTGGGGTGTTTGAGAAAACAACAAGAGCAGATCGAAACCTGGTTTTATCACAAGTTCACTGTAAATAAAAAACTTTGTATAATAAAGGGGTCGCGGGGGCACCCTCCAGACCCTTGGCTTCTGTCAGAGGAATAAGGGTCCTTGTTTCCATGGGAAAGGGTCCTTATTCCCATGGGAAACACTATCAGGTCAGGAGGGACGGCGGTTTAGATTTGGCTCCAAATAAAACTGTTTTGAAGTCATTCAAATTAAATGGAAAAAAAAAAAAGTGGGTGGGTTTTTTCTTCCCTTTTGTTCAGTGTTTTGGGAGAGGACCCTGGTGGATCCCCAAAGTGGATTCTCCTCCCGAGCTGAACCCAGAGTCGATTTCTACTTTGCAGAGGTAAAGAAAAAAAAAAAACACAAATTGTGAAACAAAAAAAAGAGAGAAAAAGTAGTATGTTTCCTATAGAAAAAAGTTACAGTAAAAAAAAAAAATTGCCTTTTTGTGGTTGTTGTATTTTTAACCCATAAACCAACAGAATGGGCGGATGTCCCCAGCCTGGCTCCGCGCTGGCCCCCTCGACACCCTCTGTGGGGTGGGGATGGCGGAGGGACGGGGGGCTCCCCGGGGCTGGAGGCCATCCGCGCTCCCCGGTCACGTGTCAGGCGCTTGGCAGGGGGACCCAGCTCCTTCCCCTGGCGCCGTCGCTCCTTCCACTGCGCTCCAGAAAGCCGGGGTATGCGAGGAGGGAGCCCGGGGTCTCCTCTGGGACCCCCCCTCGGCACTCGCACCCCTCCCCGGCGGGAAGACGAGGGGCTTTGCTGCCTTTGGGCATGAAAAAGGGCCTGGAGCGCGGGGCCAGCCAGCGCTGAGAGGATTTCCTCGGTTTCGCTGAAGGGCTGAGGAATGTCTAACGCTAACCACATCCAGATGTGCCTCCTTGGCAGCCGCCTGCCGAGCCATTAGCGAGGGGACGCGGGATCAGCGCTATCGAATGGGATGTAAGTTGCTATTATGTAGGTTTGATGGGAGCGGGTCGGGAAAGGGGTTGTGCAGCGGGAATTGCCGACTGGTCCTTACAGCTTTCCTTCTCCTCCAGCTTTTCTTTCTGCCCTGTTGCCCTTGCAGTGCTCCTCCACTCCTTAGGGATCCTTAACAACGCAGCTGAGTCGGCTACAGGCTCTGAACACTCCAGCCCCGCTCCCTCCGCTTTCCAAAAAACTCTCTTTGCATGTTTTAGGTTGGTTTGTTTTTTGTTTTTTGGTTGTTTTTTTTTTCTAGAAGAAACTTCAGGGTTTCTTTAGAGAAAGGCTCCAGTGCACCCAGGGCAGGGTTTCTTCCCGACCGCCAACAGGTTTCGGTGGTGCCACATTAAATTCTCAAGCTGGTCACTGTCAGTAAAAGGACATGATTCTGTCCCCCCCCTCCCCGGGTTACAGTTGTTTGCTTTCAGCAAAACACGGGAATCTTCAAGCTCTCTAATGTCACAGAGACAGAAAGAGGAAAAGCTTGGTTCCAGTAAAACAGGCAGTGACTGATCACTTTTTCTAATGGCTTTCAGGCGGAATCTGATAAAGTTTTGCCCTGGGTGTCATCTCGAAATCAGTGGGGCAAGTCCACGTACTCCCGCCCCGTTCACGCCTGGGTGCAACAATAAATCCCCGTTAATGCACTGTCACTGCCGGGTTTGGGGGCGCATCAGGCAAACGATTTATCGGATCAGAGGAAGGTCTGGGAGACGGACAGACAGCACTGCAGCCCGGGGAAAGGAGGGCGGCTGCTTCCGTGGGGCTGTTTCTCATCCCTTCAGGAGCCTGCAAGGTTTTATTCTCTTCCTGGGGCTGGGGGAGGGGGAAACGAATATTTACAAGAAAGAGGCAGGCTCCTTGCTCTGGGCTGCTCCAGGAAAGGCCTGTCTCCCCCAAAGCACTCGGGGTGAGTTGAGTTGCCGAGTCCTCCATAATTCCAAAAATCAGAGCACCTACAGGTGCGTCTAGATTTAGGGAAGCACCTCTCAAGGCTGTGAAGTCCACGTGTTACCTTCTCCGAGCTGGCAGGCAGCTGAAGGCTCTCGTGAGAGACGTGGTGCTGGGATCAGGAGGCACTGGGAGTTCTCCCTGTTTGCCAGGGATGGCCACAGCGTGGTCCCGCACGGGCAGTGCCACCATGGCATGTCCTGCCCTGAAAGGGCGGTGGAAAACATCCCACAAAGCTCAAATGGAGCCTCCAGAAGAGTTTTTAGGGACACCTCGGTGCATCTAATTTCTTTACAGAAACAACTCACAGAGCAGCTTGATGTTTGCTTCATTGCCTACTATCTGACCAGGCAGATACTCGGGAAGGAAAGTCTTTTGGATACATTTTGCAGCCGGCTGTTTTAATTAGAGGATTATCATCACGCCACGTGCACGCCAGCCGACTTACCAGCGGGTCGGTGGGGTGATGGGGCTTCCCGGAGTCCATGGGGACAGTCAAAGGCTGCTGGCACCACGGGATTCCTCACCGGGGATGGAGCGAGTTGCTTTCCGAGACCCCTGTAAGGAAGAGCAGACACCTCAGCATCCACCACCAGCCTCCGTAGAGCAGCTCTGCAGGTTCTCCACCTCAGCAGCCATTTGCAGGCGGTTGTCCAACTGGCGGTTGGCGTCGCAGGGCCCAGGCTGGCAGGGCCGACAGAAGAGGCCGCAATAAAATGGGGCCAGCCAGCTGGCAGGCTGAGGGAACCACATATTTCAGGACTGGGGCAAGCAGAGAGAGAGAGAAATAAGGGACCCTGTCTTGTAACGGCATGGATCTCATCCACCCGTCTGCACTGGCCTGGAAAGCAGCTCCAACGGGAAAGTTGGAAGGAGTCTTTGGAATGGGGCCTGCATTTTTATCATGGAATGGTTTGAGTTGAAAGGGACTTTAAAGCCCATCTAGTCCCACCCCCTGCCCTGGGCAGGGACACCTCCCACCACACCAGGTGGCTCCAAGCCCCCTCCAACCTGCCCTTGAACCCCTCCAGGGATGGGGCAGCCACAGCTTCTCTGGCCAACCTGGGCCAGGCTCTCACCACCCTCCCACCAAACAAGTTCTTCCCCACAGCTCAGCTCCATCTCCCCTCTTTCAGGGTCAAACCCTTCCCCCTCCTCCTCGGGCTCCCCTCCCTGATCCAGAGTCCCTCCCCAGCTTTCCTGGAGCCCCCCTTCTTTAGGGACTGGAAGGGGCTGGCAGGTCTCCCCGGGGCCTTCTCTTCTCCAGGCTGAACCCCCCCAACTCTCTCAGCCCCCCCTCCCAGCAGAGGGGCTCCAGCCCTCCCAGCATCTCTGTGGCCTCCTCTGGTCCCACTCCAGCAGCTCCGTGTCCTTCTGCTGTTGGTGGCCCCAGATCTGGATGCAGTGCTCCAGGTGGGGTCTCAGGAGAGCAGAGTAATGGCAGTGGGGACTCTGCCCCTCTGCACCGCGCTCGTTTGGCTTGGGCTCACAATCCCAACTCCTGGGAAAGCTCTCTTAAGCCCTTCAGCTAATTAAATCCTACAGCCTATTCTCAGTTTGTTTATAGACTTCAAAACTTCTAAGCAGCTGAATGCGATGGGCTCATTTTTTCCTGGTAAGGCAAGGCAGTGATTGTTTTGGTTTGTTCTTGGGCTTTGCAGTAACAAACGTGCCGAAGGGCGTCTCTCGTATTTCAGCCTGCTCTGTCTTCTAGTCAAGAAGATCAAATCATTCAGCCTCGCTTTGTAATCCCAGAGCTCCAAATGAGAGCTCTTCACAAACACCCTGTAATGCAGAGAGGAGTTGTCCGGCACCAAAGCCACTTGCAAGCATCCACTTTGATGAGGTTGTTGACTTTGCCTGGAGAGAGGAAAGAAAAAAAAACCCAGAAAACAAACAAACAAAACAAAACAAAAAAAGAAACCATGCAGGAGTAAAACTCGCTACATGACACCCAAATGTAGAGATGCAAGAGAGCTTCTTCCTATGCTCCAACGCACAAAGATATTTTCCCCCTTTAAACTCTTCAAAACCAGCTCAAAATGTTAAACTCGAGTTGTTCCGTGCCTATTTTTGCACGTGGGGCAGAACAAACCCAGCGCTGGAAGATGACACATTTCCCTGTGGGTACCCCAAAGAGCCCAGACACCCACACCACGCAAAATGACATTGAGGGGTCTTACCTGCAAGAGACCTCTACTAGATAATTCAGCTGATATTTTGAAACCTTTGCCTCAGCACTTCACTTTGGGTTTCTGTCCAAGGGCAAGAGGAGGGTGGCAGCCCAGGGTGGCTCACAGAGAGCAGTAGAAGTAACCCTCCCGTGAAACAGCACTCCTTGCGTTTGTGTGTCCAGCACTATGTTTAAATTCAAGGTTGTGGAGTCCCCTTCTCTGGAGATCTTCAAGCCCTGCCTGGATGCCATCCTGAGTGATGCGCTCTGGGCAACACTGCTTTGGCAGGGGGGTTGGACTGGATGGTCTCTTGAAGCTCCCTTCCAACTCTGGCAATTCCATGATTCCGTGGTGGGGACACAGAAGTCAAATCCTCTCTCGGGGGCTGGAAGATGGGACCAAGCCAGAGTCAGCAGGAACATGTAGTCACCAGAGCTTCAGGGGGTGCAGACTTCTTGCTGTCAGCATCCTGGTCTGGTGGGACGAAGCTAATCCATGCACATTTAATTTACACAGTCCCAGCTGCAGGATGGGTGTAGAGTATGGTATTACTGTCGTTGGTGGGTTCTTGAGCAAGAGGTGACAGAGGAACAGCAGCACAAGGTGAAGAGGGGCCTGGGAGTTTGATTTGTTCTTGTTGAGTGAGCCAGGATGGAAAAAAGGATGGAAAAACCACTGGAAATGAAGCCGGAGAGGGACACGTGTGGGGACTTCCCCACTGCAGGCCAGAGCCCAGGTCTCAGTTTCCAGCATTGGGTGTTACAGCCTGACTTTGTTCTTATGAAAGGCATCCAACCCACATGAAATGACAACAAATATCCAAAACCTCAAGCATTGCTTCAAAAAGGCTTTGAGCAACCTGGTCTGGTGGGAGGTGTCCCTGCCCAGGGTAGGGGGATTGGAACTAGATGATCTTTAAGGTCCCTTCCAACTTGAACCATTCCAGGATTCTATAAAGCACCCCCACCATCCAGAATTTTCCAGGTTCCCCCAGGCATTGCAAAAAACTCCTTGAACCCATTGGTGCTGGATCTCCAACATTTTCTTTAGCTCATTTTACAGCCAAACAGATAAGACATCTCCATCAGCGACCACAGCCCCAGGTATTGCATGGCCCACATGGCGTACACAGCCCCGTCAGTGCACAACCCAAACCCACCAGCGGCCATCCTAGCTTCAGGAGCCGAAAACACTTTGAATGTGGGCAGGGCAGCAAGCTGATCTGGGGACAACTCACAGCCATGCTCGGTGGGGACAGACGCTCCCACAAGGAGGGCTGGGATGAGCGTGCAGCAGAGCTCCTCACCCTGTTTCATACCCTCTCGATCACATTTTCAGCTCCCTGCGCTATCGCAGCTGCGTTTCCCGAGGCTGGGTGGGTTCAACAACCGCTCTCCGAGGCTCCAAGCAACGTGCCAGAATCACCAAGGCTTCTTGACTGAATTCGGGGACAGGATCCAGAGGCTTTTTCCCACTGGGCCCGCGTGAGCAGAAGTGCCAAGTGATGGAAATGTGACGGCTGCTGCAAAAGAAGGAAATTTCCAGGATGAGCTTAAGGCTTCATGTCATTCAACTGGGAATGAAGGATTAGCAACTGGGCTTTTTATATATATTTTTAAAGTCATCATTTAGCTTGCTTTTATTGCAGCACTCCTTGGCCACATTTCAGAATCCGCCTCTCAAATAAATTAAAACCAGGCGGAGGACAGGGCCCTCTGCCCGAGTCCGCAACAGCACAGGTCCCATTCCCTGCCTGGATGCTCACCAGGGTAACGTGCCCAGCTCTGGCCACTTCCAACTCTCAAGCATTTTTCTGCTGCTCAGGCCACGCAGGCTGTGGCCCCCTTGGTCCTTCCAGCATGTTCCCTACGCATGGTCTCTCCACGTTTCCACCTCATGGATATGAGACCTTTCAGCCTCTTCCTACAGCCCAGCTCAACACGCTGACCTGCCTTGTCCCACTGCTGGGGCAAAACTTCACCATCCCATTCCCAGTCCTCAGCACAAGAAGGTCAGGGACCTTTTGGAGTGGGACCAGAAGAGGCCACAGGGCTGGGAGGGCTGGAGCCCCTCTGCTGGGAGGGGGGGCTGAGAGAGTTGGGGGGTTCAGCCTGGAGAAGAGAAGGCTCCAGGGAGACCTTCCAGCCCCTTCCAGTCCCTAAAGAAGGAGGGCTCCAGGAAAGCTGGGGAGGGACTCTGGATCAGGGAGGGGAGCCCGAGGAGGAGGGGGAAGGGTTTGACCCTGAAAGAGGGGAGATGGAGCTGAGCTGTGGGGAAGAACTTGTTTGGTGGGAGGGTGGTGAGAGCCTGGCCCAGGTTGCCCAGAGAAGCTGTGGCTGCCCCATCCCTGTAGGGGTTCAAGGGCAGGTTGGAGGGGGCTTGGAGCACCCTGTTGTGGTGGGAGGTGTCCCTGCCCAGGGCAGGGGTGGCACTGGGTGGTCTTCAAGTTCCGTTCCAACTCAAACCATTTTATGATTCACACCTGCTCGAGCTGGACTGATAACCCACCTCTGTTTCACAAATTGGATGGAGATCCCCCATGGCAGCGTAATGAAGCAGAGGCACGTCCACCTTGGATGGGGACAGACAGTATGATGCTGTGCTGAGACATGCTCTGCTGTGCTCGCAGCTCTTTTGTTTGGCATCAAATATTTTCTGCTCACTTTACTAGCCCTATAGTTTTATTATTTTTTTTTTGTCTTCCTGGTGTGGAGGTGGATGAATAATCCTTTTGGCTTTAGGACATACTGGAGTGTCTGCCAGAATCATCAATCCCTCTGAATTCAAGAGCAGGACAGCTTTTCCCACACTGACATCCATGGATAGAGCTTACACCTGTGTAACAGTCGAGGGTATTTCCTTTCAAAAGAAGGAAATATCCAACAAAGACTGGAAAATCCGTATAATTCGATCAAGGATTCACTTCAAGGCCTGGCAACTTCTTTCAAAAACTAGATGTCTATATTCAGCATTGAACTGGGTTTTTTTCAGCATGAAAACCACTATTTCAGATTCTTTTCTTTCAATAAATGAAAACACAGAGGAAAATCTGGGCTATCAGCCCAGGCTTGTAACAATTCAGGGTTTTTCTTGGCTTTTTCAAGTGCACTTATTTCCAGATTCTGAGATGCTGGGTAAATCTTTAAGTCATGGAAATTATGAATTTCATGACACATACATTTTATTCCAAACCCTCACTGATAAAATTAAACACAGGAAAGAGCCAGGACTTTCATCCAGCTCCTTAATTACCATCTGGAGCCTGGCAGCTGAAATAAGATCAAATTTTTGCATAGAAAAGGGGAAAAAAAAATAATTACAGTGAGGAAAGAGATGAGACTTGACGAAGAGCTTGAATGCAGACACACAAACATTCCAACGCTATCAAGGATCACCAGGGACTCCACATCTGCCACTCACTTGAGAGACCACGTGCACCTCAAATAAAGCTTAGTCCATCACAACAGAAGGAGCAAAACTGCCTCAGTTTCAGTTCTTAGGAGCTTTTAGAGACAGGGTGCCTGTTTTAGGTATCTCAATAACAGCCAGCAAAAGTTCTCGCTCGTGATGGACAAAAGAGGGAGAGACTCTTTCTCCCTTGGTGGCACGTCCTGGGTATAATGGAACCATCCCTTCCTACCCCTGGAGCTTATGGAAAATTATTGAAGGCAACGTGAGGGAAAGCCTGCTGGGAACCAGGGTTTGACAGATAAAGGATGATTTAGCACAGAACTGACACACGGCGGGTTGTTGCAGAGCACGGCAATCACGACTTGCCAGGGGTAATTTCCATACAACAGGCATAAAATGCAAACTAACACCCTGTATACGTTAGGAGGGACTGTTTCACGAGGCTGAAAGTAGTTATGAGCCAAGTCACGTGGCAGAAAGAACATAAACAGAAAACAGCTTCAGATTATTATAAGCATTTTAACAGCAATTTATGAGAGATCAGAGAAAATTCTGCAACCCTGCTATTAATGTCAAAGCTACGCCGGTTAAAACATCTGCCTGGCCTAGGAGAAAAGTGAAAAGTACAGTAAGAAAAAAGCCAAGAAATGGAGAAAAGCCCAGCAATCTCTATTAGAGGCCAGAAAATGGCAAAAAAAGGCAGCCCGAGGAAAAAAGCCTGGTCATCAGGACAAGGAGGAAGTGTTTTTGAATCCATTGGGAAAGGAAAGAGCTTTACACCAAGGCTCGGATAAGCTAAAATAAAGTTTTCAGTAATACTGGAGAAAAAGCAGAGGAAGTCAGTAAATACTTTGGAGCTGAAATTGGGAAAAAAGGATAGCTGATACCGTATGATGATGAAATACTCTCCGTTTCAACAGTAACTTGGAGATGCAGTTAACCAGCAATGAAAAAGCAAAGTATTTTAAAATTATGAGGTCCGAGCAACGTGCATCAAGAATTTTAAAGGGGATGGCCAAGAAATCAACTGGTTTATTAATTTTGCTTTCTCGTAGGTCTTGAAATTGTGCCTAGATCCCACAGGGTCTGGAGGCAATGTTTTGCCACTATTTTCGTACTTCATAATTACAGACTCGTCAGTTTGGTTTTGAGATTGGAAAAGATACCGTTTTAAATAGATAATTTAAATAGAAAATTGATGGGTAGGGAACAACACAATCCGTGACAGGGAAAGAAGATTTGCTGGAAATGAATGCCACCAAACTAAAGACGGTCTCTGTTTTAGGTCATAGCCATGCTGAATAACAATATCCTTACCAAGCACTTTGCTCTGAGGAACGTGCTCCCCGCTAACGACTTTAGGGAGTATGATTGTCACCTGCCTTCTCCGGGGCAGCTGGTGGGTCCCCTCCGTTCAACTCCATTGTTGAGCTGCTGTGGGAAACAGTGGTGACCAGAGGAGCTGCCTTTGCTGAAACTACAGACCCTTGCCCACCTCTTTCCCCGAACTATGGTTAAATGCTGGTTCCTGCCTTTTTACCACTCTTTAATTCTTTTGTTTGTTTGTTTGCAGTTGAAGAACTGATCGAATGAGACAGAAGATCCGTGGGAAAAGGGTAAGCGAGGAACCAAATCTTGTATTTCAAAAGGCAGCTTCATCTCTCACACTCGAATGAAACATTCCTAACACCAGGTCCTGCCTTGCTCCTGCGTATTGGGATTTATTTCACGGAATCATGGAATTGTCAGAGTTGGAAGGGAACTCTAGAGATCATCTGGTCCAACTCCCCTGCCAAAGCAGGGTTGCCCAGAGCACATCACTCAGGAGCATCCAGGCGGGGCTTGAAGATCTCCAGGGAAGGGGACTCCACACCCTCCCTGGGCAGCCTCTGCCAGGGCTCTGCCACCCTCACCCCAAATAAGTTTTTTCTCGTATTTGAGTGGAACTTCCCATGTTCCAGCTTGTGCCCATTGCCCCTTGTTCTATCGCTGGAAACCACTGAAAAGGGTCTGGCTCCAACATCCTTCAACTCGCCCTTTAGATACTTATAAACATAAATAAGGTCTCCCCTCAGTCTTCGCTTGCCCAGACTAAAGAGTCCCAGCTCTCTCAGCCTTTCCTCATCAGGGAGATGCTCCAATCCCTCCATCATCTTTGTTGCCCTACACTGGACTCTCTCCAGCAGTTCCCTGTCTCTCTTGAACTGGGGAGCCCAGAACTGGAGGCAGGATTCCAGTTGTGGCCTCTCCAGTGCAGAGCAGAGGGGGAGAATGACCTCCCTCCACCTCCTGGCCACACTCTTTCCTATGCAGCCCAGGATCCCATTGGCCTCTTGGCCACAAGGGCACACTGCTGGCTCATGGAGAGTTTAGTGTCCACCAGGACTCCCAGATCCTTCTCCTCAGTAGTGCTTCCCAGAAGATCTATCCCTAACCTGCATTTGCCCACTTCTTGCTTCCCAGTTGGGGTGATTTGGCAGAGGCAAAACACCCATGCCGCTTCTAACCTTATTAATGGAAGTTATTTATATCGGTTTAATATTTTATAAAGATTACCAGCAGCAAAAAGGCCCTATGTGCATTCAAGTGGGTGCCTAATGTAATCGTTTGGAAGGCACAAAGGGGAGCTGGTTTATGAGAGCTGGCTCCGCGGGCAGGGAAACGCCAGGGATATGCTGCCACTGAAAGTTCTGTCCTTCAACAGCCAGCTCTCAGCCTCCCTGCTTCCACTCAAGGGTAAAAGCAGCAACAAACTGTTACCAAGTTAGGGGGAAAAAAAAGATTAAAACCAAATATCCAATTATTTATGGAATAACGGCATTGTTTCATTGTTTTCCACCTTGTTTTTCCCAAAGCGGTGAAATCTCCGAGAGGGCAAAACGTGTTCGGCAGAGGGGTCTGTGGGAGGAAGGGATGATGGAGGGCAGCTTGGTGACTTCACGAACCGTCACAGGGCCAGAGCACTAGGATCAGCGCCTGGTTTGCAACCCCTGTGCCTTTTTGCCTCGTTCCTTAACACGTCTCAGTGGTTTTTATGAGCAAAATGCACTTTGCCGTTAGTTCTTGGCCGGTTGGTCTCGCCCGCGTGCTTCGAAGCTGCCGAATCCTCGTTGCTGACGCACCGTCTATTTATTTACAGATGGACATCGGGGCCAGGCAGCTCAAACACAGCTTTTAACAGTCCCAGAAGCACGGCAGAGACAATGAGAGTTCGTCTCAAAGGGGACGCCATCTGTACCCTCCTCCTGCTGGTCGCGCTCTGTTCTTTGCTCTACTCCCAGCTGGAACATTTAGTCCCGGTAGGAAACAAGGAGCCAACAAAGAAGCAGCCTTCAGTAACAGCAAAAATATTCTCCACGCCTAGAGCACCTTGGAGACCAATGCCAGCAGAGGCAACGGTACTCAAGCCCCACGTAACTCCCGTCATTAGACGACCAGAAGTGGCCAACAACAGGGTCACAACTACAACGAGACCCCCACTGACTGATTCCGCCTTCAATTTCAAGCGCTATCTCCTAAACAAGGATAACAGGAACTTCAATCTCCTCATCAACCAGCCCAAGAAATGCAGGAAAACACCCGGAGGTCCCTTTCTGCTCATCGCTATCAAATCGGTAGTTGAAGACTTTGACAGACGTGAGATTGTCCGGAAAACGTGGGGCAAGGAGGGTTTGGTGAACGGGGAGCAGATCCAGCGAGTGTTCCTCCTGGGAACACCAAAGAATAGGACAGTGCTGGCAACATGGGAGACTCTGATCCATCAGGAGAGTCAGACATACCGAGACATTTTACTCTGGGACTTCATGGACACTTTCTTCAATCTGACCCTGAAGGAGATCCACTTCCTGAACTGGGCTGCTGAATTCTGCCACAATGTCAAATTTATTTTTAAAGGTGACGCCGATGTTTTTGTCAATGTTGAGAACATTGTTGACTTCCTTGAGAGACATGACCCCGCTGAGGACCTCTTTGTTGGGGACATCATCTACAACGCACGCCCTATTCGTGTCCGAAAGAGCAAATACTACATCCCAGAGACCATGTATGGACTAAGCATCTACCCAGCCTACGCAGGAGGAGGAGGGTTTTTGCTGTCCAGCCATACCATGAAGAAGCTCTCCAAGGCTTGCAGAGAGGTGGAACTCTTCCCCATTGATGACGTCTTTTTGGGCATGTGCTTACAGAGAATCAACCTCAAGCCCATTTTGCATGAAGGTTTCAAGACCTTTGGCATTGTGAAGCCTTCTGCTGCCCCACACCTACAGACATTTGACCCCTGTTTTTACAAAGATCTCATGGTAGTGCACAGTCTGAAAGTTGCTGAGATCTGGCTAATGTGGAACCTGCTCCACAGCCCACGTCTTTCCTGTACTCAAAAGAAGCAAGTCAAGAAGCCTTTCCAATGGAAAAAGAAAGCTCAAGTAACACCACAGGCATCACCTCTAAGCTAATGCAGGCAGACGGCAGCAGAAACACACAGAAAACCAGCTAAGAAAGGGAACCTGGAACTGTTGCAACCAAATGAACTCACTTTAGAAGTAGATTATTTTAGCACATCTTATTTACAATGTTAAGAGAAGACTATTGCAGGGATTTGTCAAAATTCCACATTTGCACACACATACCGTGTAGGTCCTTCTCCATTAATGAGTCCAAATAATCGTAACTGTATCTTTAATTTATTATTATTTATTAGAATTATAGTAGTGCTTAGTGGGCCAACGTGTAAAAACACATAGTAAAATGCAACCTTTGGAGATTTTTCAGCATGGCTAGACATGTGAGAAACGAAAGAAGACAGAGGGTAGGAGATGACGCCAAGGAGCCCGGGGATCGTTGTCCACTTGGTACCTTGACTCAGACTCATTGAGAAATGACGGAACTGTGCAGTAACTAGCGTAAAGGAAATCAAACCCCTTAGGGTACACTCAGATCCTATCACCGCTGCCTGGTTGGCTTTCTGTAGGCCTCATAAGAGAACAACAGAACAACTAACAGCTATTGAAATGGGGTCCCATACATGGCAGGTAGGGGGGACTACAAGAACAGAAACTGGAGGCTGAGGTTGGCGTGGCTGGTTGAGCAGAGGACAGGTAAGTGGGTAACTGGGAAGAGGCAGACTCCTGAAGGGCCTTTAAAGAAAGGACAAGAAAAACCTTGAGTTAGTCCCTCTAAGTCTTGATTTTTCATCATTCATAGCAACATCTCAGTTCAAATATCTGCTCCATTGACACACTCGGGACTCAGGGGACCAGTTTTTGGCACTTCCATGAGCTCAGGCTCTCTACATCATGCTGAGTGGAACTCAGTGGAAACTCAGAATCATTCAACAGCATCTCATCTCTCTCATCATCTAACCCAGATCTTCAGAAGGTCTGCATCTGCAGAGATCCTTTGGCCTTCACTTGTGAGGGTAAAACCACGCAGAGCTGCTGCTTGCGTCACATTTGGGAGCTTCTTCAAACCAAAAGAAAACTTGTCAATGGACTGGAGTGGTTTCTGTAGACAAGAGCAGCCAAGACTCTTCATACTGCTGTGGGTGTCATGTGAAGGGAGAAAGTAGCCTTCAGACAAAAGGCCTCCAGAATAAAAGCTTTTCTAAATTTATTGCAAGAAAGCAAAAACACAAAGCAATCTTTCTGTTGGCCTTTCCAAGTTTCACTCAGTCTGTAACTATTTCAAGCATCGGACAACAACACTGGATTGCTTAGTTTTTCAAAGAACAGGCAATACTTTGAAGCATTTTGGTTTTTCCAGCAGCAGATTACCTTAAATGTACCTCCTTTTCTTGGACACCAAACAAGAAGTAATTCCCCTAAATCAAGGTTAAAAAGCTATAAAATTCACAGGGCAAAGAGCTTGAATCCACTTCTGATATTGTGCTAATTCTTTTCCAATTTTTTCCCCCCATCAACAAAATTCTTCTCCATCAGAGAAGCCCCAATGCCATCCCTTTTCAGGAGGGCACACAGCTTCAAAGGAAACTACAATCAGTCATAAACATTCAGGGGGTTGTCTTCCCTTAAAAAGAGCCTGCAGCACAGCTGCATTTCATATCTGGGTAAACCTTTCTCCCACCCAGCAGCGGTCCGGGCTCAGTACTGGGATTAACGGCGCAAACCATGGAGGAAAACAAGCTGGTAATAGCTATTGGTAGGCTACTAACAACAGTTTTAAAATCTTATGGTGTGGGTAGCATGTAAGCCTTGCAGTAATGTATTTCCAAGGAAAGGTCAGCTATACAGAAATCAAAAGACCACGTGTTGATTTGGGATGTTTTCAGGATGCCATCCCGAAATACAAAATGCTCGTGGGAGCTTTACGCAGCACCCTGTAGGGTGTGGAAATAAGCCACAGCCTTGCTGGTGGCAGAAAGCCAGTCACGGCCCTGTCTGCTGACGTGTGTGACACTTATGTATTTATGGACTTGTACAGAAATGTATTACCTGTGATTAGTTTACAGTTTGGGAAATTATTTATGCCATAATTAAAAGTCAACGTGCTGATGTGCCTCTCGTTGTCGGAGTGAGTCTGTCAAGCACATCTGCACACACGTCAGAAGACTATCACCACATGCATTTTTCATGAAGACAGCAACATGAAAAATACATTATTCATCCTTTTAGATAACCTTAGGTAAACCTTTCCGTATGCTGGACTTACTTCAATGGTAATGACAGAAAAATAAACACGGGTTACCTTATGATTTCCTACGAGGCAGCTCGTCAGGTTCAGGAGTCTGTGTTAACATCTTCCTTGGAGATGCAGAGATTGGCTCCTCCCTCTATAAAGTCTTCAGATCTGCAGCCTGCCCACAACACAGCATTAAGGAGTGCATTTTGTCCCAGATCAAAGTTGCAATTCAACATCCACCTGTGCCAGCACATACCCCGAGAGCTGCCAGGAACAGAACCGGAGCAAACTGTTTACTCTGTTGTCTTTGTGTACAGAACAGCTCATTTCTTTTACCCGATGAATACTAAATCTGGTGTCTATTAACGAAAGACACATGTGCTTTTGTTCTCCAGCCTCTGCTGCATGGCCTGTTTGACCTGGTTTTAAAAGTTTCCATTTGCTTCTGCAGTCGAGCTGGGAGTTTACAGACCCCAAACATGAGCCGTAATACACCGGGGAAATGCTGCAGAGCTGTGCTGCACCCCCTGCAGTTTATTAAATTTGACTTACTGCTACAGCAGGCAAAAAGTCTTTAACTTCACCCAAGCCGGATATTTTTTTCCTAAAAGATGGGGATCTTTACAGAAATTCCTGAAACCCTCGGTGTGTATGAGAACTGGCAGGAAGGACCCTCTACGGATCTTTCTGATGCATCTCAGGCAAAACAAACCCATCCATTTCAGAACTAAATTCTGGGCAGGTTTTATTAACTGCCTAATTCAATGCACCAGTCAGGGGTTTGCTAAAAAGCCTTGCCTGGCAACTTTTTTTCATGACTGAGCCATGATAAGAAAACATATAAAACATCCTAAGTGTGTTCCCCCAGTAGCAGGGAAAGCAAGCAGACTTCTTCGAGACAGACATAAACATCTGAAGCTAATACAGTACAGTAGGGTTTATTGAGTCCCAGGGACACGCACACGGTCAAATTTTATTCCTACTGTACATAAGTAGCCAGATTTGGTCACTCTAACGAGCAGAGCTGGCCTGAGCCGCACATTCAGCGCCTCCGAATGCATCTCTGAACACACAAACTGGCAGAGAACGCCAAGATCCATCACTCGGTCAGGCCTCCGCTGGCTTAGACATCATAAAAAATAAAGCCAAGGACGGCTCTGAAGCAATTGAGTGTTAAAATACTGTGCTTCCTGTCTGCAGTTTAATTATTCATCTTGCTACCCTAGGTTCTCGGAAGCGAACCCCAACTGCAAAATCAAACAGTACAAAATAACTGCACGGCTCAGAGAAGCCTCGCTAAATCTTGGTGCTGAGAACATTCCCTGGAGACCATCAGCCTGGGTGGAAAAGAAAAAAATGTCCACCCCAAAGCCCGAATGTGAAGAACTGCTGAGCTCCCGGGTTGTTTCTCTCAGCTGTAAGCTGCAGGTCTCAGCAGCCCTGAAAATCAGTCCCCACCCCATTTCCCTAACGATGCTACTAACTCTACCGACATTCGACACAACCCATAAAGCTTTAAAGTCCAACTTTTCATGATTTTGTAGGCTTTACAGTCAGGAAGAAAACCATACTGAGGAAAGAAAGGAACGAAATCCCAAAGGAGGAGTGCATCCCTCCGAGAGAAGCAAACAGCTCCCCAGCCCATCCCGACCACCCCAATGCTCTCTCCCATCCACCAAGAGCTCATCTCCTCTCCCTCTCTCCCTTTCCCAGTGCCAAAACCAGGGAAAAACCATAGAATAACACAGGTGGGCAGTGATTGCCTTGTCCCCAAGGGGGCTGAGCGAGCTGGGTAGGAATAAAGCCATGATATTAAGACAAAGGCTCACTGTGACCATAGAAGCAAGGGAAAAGTGAGAAACAATCCCAGTGGGCTCCGTATATATAATAATATTAGGAAAAATGTTTTCACCAAAAGGGTTCTCAGCCATTGGAATGGGCTGCCCAGGGAGGTGGTTGAGGCCCCATCCCTGGAGGTGTTCAAAAGACGGGTTGATGTAGTGCTGGGAGGTCTGGTTTAGTGATGATGCTCCTTGTTTGTTGTGTGGGTGTCTATTTTTGTCAGTTAGGTTGACGGTTGGACAAGATGATCTTTAAGGTCCCTTCCAACCTAGAAGATCCTGTGATTCTGATTCTGTATTTATAGAGGCAGCCCAGCCAGGAACAGGGCAAACTCAGGGTCTCAGGTTTTTCTACAACAGAGCAGCAAAAGTTAAAAAAGGAATAGAGTGATTGAGGCTGGTTTGATTCTTTAGTTGATCAGGCTGCACGTTGTCACGCTGGGATTATTTTTTTTTTGGTGATTAGTGTTTAAAATAAATGTTTCTCTGAAGGATATTAATAGTGGAATGAAATATGCACTACGGGGAATATGTAGCACAGGTGTGAAACGTTAAGGCACTGAAAACCAGCCTTCAAAACTGCAATATGCAGTACTTCAAAATGACCAATCTAGTAATATGTAAAGGGGAAATAATTAGGGTATGAAAGAGAAAAGGTTACGTTAAAGTATTACAGTCTAGTCCAGAACAAAACTCACTGTTATAACGGTAACTTACACCACAGTAAATGACCTACTCTGCAATCTCCAGCTTACCTTTCCCACTGCTTCAAGTGCTCAAGAGTTTCCAGATCACGAGAAGGAATGATTTTGTCTGCTGGAAAAACACACGTCCCCACAAACAAAACAAAAGCCTTGGATTTGAGGTTTGGCAGATAACAGATTTAAACAGTGTCTGTACTAGTTACAGCTGAAATTCACACAGGCGGAGAATATGGTATTTAAGTTCCACCTGAAGCCTCCAAGTAACCCACGGAGCCCCTGCAACACCAAATCCCTTCACAGGTGCAGTTTTCACTGGGTGAACTGGTCATACCCTGGCCTTGAACAAAGCCCCCTACTCCATTAACTCCCCCGATCCTATGTTAATGCTCCAGAGTTACATCTTCAGTAAGTTCAGTTTTTGATCTCCCCTTATTTTGCTTCAACCTTACCCAACCTCTGAAACATCCTGGGGCACACCTTACATGAAAAGAAGCAACCAGAATTAATTTGCACTCTATTAACCCCAAAAACACGCAGTGATGTATTCACCTGAGGACATCCTGGCTGAGAGGATAGTGTTGGTGCAATCAAGATAAAGGAGGTAAAACAAAAGGTGTTTATGGGGCAAAAGTTGACATGGAACGATTGTATCTACAGAGCTGGCACAAAATACTTTTCTTTTGCATCACGACACCAAAAATTATTCTGAACTCCAAGAAGTTCAGAATAATTGGTTCCAAGGAGCCAAGAAGGCTGAGGGGGGATCTGATCAATGCTGATAAATACTCAAAGGGAGGGTGTCAGGAGGATGGGGCCGGTCTTTTTTCAGTGGTGCCCAGGGACAGGACAAGAGGAAATGGGCACAAACTTGGACATAAGAAGTTCCACCCAAACATGAGGAGGAACTTCTTTCCTGTGAGAGTGGCAGAGCCCTGGCAGAGGCTGCCCAGGGAGGTGGTGGAGTCTCCTTCTCTGGAGACATTCAAACCCACCTGGACACGTTCCTGTGGGACCTGCTCTGGGTGGCCCTGCTCTGGCAGGGGGTTGGACTGGATGATCTCCAGAGGTCCCTTCCAACCCCATAGCATTCTGTGATTCTGCAAGTGAGCTACGAACGGCCGTGATCTGAAAGGAAGGGCAAGAGAACACAAAAGAGCTGGTCCACATCATCTCCTTCTGCTTTTCTTCAGCTCTGCCTCTCCCAGAAAAGTCAAACGCTTTGTGTTCGGCCCATCTGCAGTGGCATAGATGCAAAGCTGCCTTTCACTTTTGTCTGTTAGAGGAACTTTTCAAGATGAGGGGACTGACCTAGAGAAGTATCTGGGCTGTTAAAAGCACATTTCATTATCTACACTATTTTAGTCTCTTGGACTCACCAGCATGGTGCAAGTGAAGATGGGAGTTGCTGAAGTTGTTAAATACCTTTGGTTTGCTGCTGTCACTGCCATCCTGTCCTAAGCCTGGAGGTGCACCTACAGCAGTGGTCCTGACCTCTCACTGCTGAAGAACTTCAACTGAATATGCTTGATAGCGTCTGTGTAGCCATTACTCAAACTGTCTCCTCCTGCAGCTAATCTGGAGCCTTTATTAGAAAAGGATTAATCAAAATAAGAGGTTCCACTCAAATATAAGGAAAAACTTTTTCACAGTGAGGGTGGCAGAGCCCTGGAACAGGCTGCCCAGGGAGGGTGTGGAGTCCCCTTCTCTGGAGATTTTCAAGACCCACCTGGATGCTCCTGAGTAACATGCTCTGACAAGCTCTAGGCAATCCTGCTTCAGCAGGGGAGTTGGACTAGATGATCTCTATGGTCCCTTCCAACTCTAAAAATTCAGAGAAATTCAGTGAAAATTAATGCAAATTATTAGGGTTGCTGTCATATTTTAGTAACGAGCATAAACACGCACACCATCTCAATTCAGGGATCATAAAATTCTCTTGGTGGGATAAAAACACCCACTGAGCCAAGCCCTGTGCAAGGTCATTTTATATTCCAAAACTGAGGGATGCTGGAGGAGGGAGAGCCAAGTGCTCTAACCCTGCATTATGCAGCCAGGGCAGGAGAAATGCAAATGGGAAGAGGAGTCCCATTAACCCCTAAACTACTCCAGGGCAAGTGTAGCTCAGTGCTTTTCTGCTGAAGCACCTTAGGGCATAAGAAAGTGGTATGACAATCCCCCTTCACTCCTTTTACTGCAGGCATTTCTTCCCTTCTGTTGTGTGACAGCCAAACTCTTTGAAGCTTGGATCGATTTTAGTGATACCCAAAGGCTAACACGGGTGCTACAATTGTGCTTCTGAACACAATACAGTGTTATTTACCGTATTTTGCCCCT